TCCTGCTGAGTGGTGCTTTATTCCAGGTGTGCCAGCAGTGCTGGCACTGACAGCATGCAGCAGACCCCACTGTAAGGAGAGCTTCACGTTTTTCAACTGACCTTAAACCCAAGCCCATTTAGTGGATGATGCCTCCTGTAGACATCTTGTAGTATAGAATCATCACTGCTTGCAGAGGAAGGGAGAAGAACATTCATAGCCCAACGTGTTCTCAGCCAGGTGGGCGGTAGCAAAGATCACAGACTTCAGTGGAAACAGCTGCAGCCTCTGTTCACCTGAGACACGTGGTCTGCCTCAGCTCTGCCTTTGGCACAACTGGACAAACCAGCCAATTTCAAATAATTATAAAAGTCTGAGTTGGGCGAGAGCTGTGGAGGCCAGCCATGCAGTACAGAAGTAATTGAAGTGGAAATGAGGTTTTGGGAAGAGTGAATAGGTGGGTAAGAGTGAGGTAGACTCCCCTGAATATCTGACAGCTGCACACATTGAAGGCGTGGGACAAGAAAATGTTACTGGAGTTCTACCACCTCTTAAAAAACAAATTCACTGGTTAAAGTGGTGCCACCTAGCTAGAGAAACTCAAAAGGCAGAAGGTTTTTCTTTAGAGATTATGTTACTGATCTAATGTTCTCATGGTGCATGACAGCACACAAACACAAACACAGATTTTTGCTACTGTTATGGACTTTCGAAAGGCATTATATTTTAAACCAAGACCATGGAAATTAGAAGTATCAGTGCATTATTAGACCAAATCACAGCCTGACATATGTCTGCAGTATATAAATAAAAATTGGTCTATGTTGCATATAATGACCCATTCAAAAATAAACTTTTCTGAAGAAGATAAAAAGATGAATCTGTTGTCTCTAATGAGAAATTTTTTAAGTAATTTTTATTAAAATCAGAAGGGAAAGACTTTTCTTGTCTTGTGTCTTCACCAGCTCTTGGGTTTGCTCCCCGTGTCTATTTGCTGAGGACTATTTCCTCTGGTCACACCAGCAACCAGTGACCCCTGCATTAAATGCACAAGTATAATTTGTGCTGCCATGGCTGACTGTTGTGCTTGGAAAACATTTTGACCTGGTTGCACAGCCCAGTAGCTCCCTCTGCTTGTGCTGGGATCTGTGGGTAAAGCAGCTGTCTTTCTGCCCCAGAGTTAGCCTTTGCTAACTCTGCTTTGCTAACTTTACTTTAACAAGTATGTGTAGCAGTACTTGTTAAATTAAGCTTTCTGTCTCTCCATTAATCTAAACCTCGAAATACCAGCTCCAGTCTTAAAAAGTATGGTTTCAATTTTTTATTTCCCCCCTCACCCCAAAATGTGCAATTAATCAGTAGATCACCTTGTTGCAGGGCTTGGGGGCCACCAAGAATTTGTATGGTTTTGAGAGGACAAACTGGCAGCAAGTGGCCAAACACACAAATCCACTGCTGGCTCAGTAGGTCCCTGAGCTGCAAACAGGTAGAGGCCGGGAGGTTTCTGTTCTTCACCCCGTTTTGGCCCTTGGGTGCTATTGGACTGGAAGGATCTTTGGTCTGACCCACAGCTCACTGTATGTTGCAGCTTGCATGCAAAAGCACTAGCGCACAGCAAAGACACTAGATCCACTCCTGCATCCTGGCATCCTGCCCTGGAAAGAGGCGTTCCCAGCAAGGTTGTTTGTGTGTTGGGTTAATGTTTATCCCAAGCTTGAGCTTCTTATCCAGGGTGAAGGACAAGGCATTGCCCATGAGTGGGAAGCAACAGCAATAACCTGTAGCAGCAGCTATCCCACGGGACACAGTTTCTCCTCCAGTTTGCAGGCTGGACAGCCTCATGCTACCATCACAGACACAAGACCTGGGTCTGGCTCTCATCCCATTTGAGAGCTCATCTTGGTGGCCTCAGCCAAAGATGGGACTTCTCCAGCTGTTTCTCAGTGCTAAGAGCTCCTCTACAGATCATTGGGGCTGAGCTAGGGACATGCCATGGCAAGAAGACAAACCACATGCCCACATTGCCATACTGGTAGAGCTAAGAAAACTAAATGTTCTCCAAAGTAATTTATCCATTTTCCTGGAGTTCAGTGACAGGCTGCAGACTGCACTCATGCTAAATTGTGAGAATACCACTGTGCACATTCTACTCAGCCTCAAAATCTCTCCAGAGAGGAAAGCAGCACAGCAGGTTAGTGGGTGAAAAAGGATCTCACTAACCATGGCAAGCACACTTGGGGTAAAGAGTCCCCTGTCCTGCTACAGCCAAATGCTTGCTTTAGGTGCATGGTTCACTACCAGTATGAAGTTCTCATTTCTTTGTGTTATCCTGCCAAGTGTGAAGTCTGGCTTTGAGATTCCAGCTGGGGATCAGTATCTGCTTTGGTTTTGAGCTGAATTTTCATAGTAGAGAACCTCTTTGGCATGTTCTGGTATCAAGCTGGTAGGAAGCTTTGAGATTTGAGGCAACATCCAAGGTAAGTAAAAGGTCCCGCGGAAAAAAAAGAATTCAGCCCAACTTTGCAGCCCTCTGCTGAAAATAATGCCTCTATTTTTTATTTTATAAGTGTTATTACAAATGTATTGTCTATGTCAGCATTTTGCAGGGAGGAAAAGTTCCAAAAGGAAATTAAAAACAATTCATATTTTTTTGCTTCATCTTCCCATAGTTTTACATTTTTCAGTGTGATAAGAGCTCTTGCACATTGAAAGGGAATGCTGATGCCACAGACTCTGAAAAGACTTCCAGTTTTGATGCTGCCATCACAATGGTGTTTTAATTCACTCCCTGAATTTGGTGGGTGTTGTGTGGGCCCAGCTTCCATCCTACCCTTCTGTGCCACCTGCTTGCATACATGTGGTACAGTCAGTGATCTTGAACTTGGCAGAGCTGGAAATAATTACAGCAGGAGAGGGAAGAATTAGGAGAGCTCTTGTTATATGTTATGTTAATTTGGTATAACTCATTAGCAGCTTCTTCTAAGTGGCTCCATCCAAGCCTACTATGGGCATAGTAGGCTGGAATGAAGCAGAGTAACAGTGCTTGCTGCAGCACCTCCTTCCTCTTCAGTGCAGAGGCAGCTTGCTATGTGCTCGTCAAACAAAGCTTTGAGTTAAAACTACTTGAGGATACTGTGTCTGCAAAACAGTCATGCCCTTCCTAGGGTTGCAAGGCGTAACGCCAATCAGGAAGCTGTTCTCCTGCTCTCTTGTGTCATCCCCTTCTGCAACTGCTCCCTGCGAGGCAGGACCCTGCTCCTTGTGAGTGGCCCCAGCCAGGTCACAGGTGCTTTACATCCCCAGCTGCACAGATACCACAGATGCAGCCACACTGATGTCACTTCTGTGTCACAGGGCAGTCACAGCAGGTGCTGGCTCTGCTCTTCCCAGTGGCTTGCCACAGGTTGCAGTGTTGCACCTGGTTTCTGGCTAGCTGTGGGCCACTGGTGGTGATTTATTGCACTGCTGCCAGGCTCCCCTCCATAACAAGTTCTGCTGCCTGCAGTGGCAGTTTTCCACTTTTCATTAATTTGCACAGGCTGGGAAGAGATGTCCAGAGGTGACACTAGCCTGCCTCTGGCCCACCTGAGGATATGGGATAGCAGAATGTTACAGCACACACTGCCCTAACTTCTGCTGTTGGGTCTCCACAGAATGCACTAACAACAGTGTTTTCTGTGGGACTGCTGGAGGCCCTTTACAAAGCAGGACAAGCGTTGTGTGTGGGTGCTCTCTTCCACAAGCCACTTCCATGGTCACAGGCTGTCAGCAGCAGCTGCTCAGTCAGGCTCTTACTGTTGGATGACCAGTTGAGAAGTCCCAGGAAAGAAGTCAGAGAGTAGAGTTCACCCCAAACACTGAGGACACCCTTAGCACAGGCACCAGCCCAGTCACAAACTCTTGGACAGCAAAGGGGCACGGGCAGCAAAACTATTCACTTTACTGGACCTGAAACAGCTCTGAGGAACAGTACTTGCACACAACTAGCCTGTAGTGGATAGGGCTGAGGGCAGTAGAAATGTTTCCCACCTATAACCTCCAAGACAGACATATTCATCCCTCTGTCAGTCCTGCATGCAATCTTCTACAGCTCGGTCAGGGCTGGAGTGTGACTGAAAGGGAGCACTGGAGATCATCGTGCATCGGCACATGACAT